CCCCTCCCCATCCCCTCCCCTTCCAGTCCATATTCTATTCTATTCTATTCTATTCTATTCCACACCACTCCACTCCATTTTCTCTTCTCTCCCCTCCCCATCCCCTCCCCTTCCAGTCCATATTCTATTCTATTCTATTCTATTCTATTCCACACCACTCCACTCCATTTTCTCTTCTCTCCCCTCCCCATCCCCTCCCCTTCCAGTCCATATTCTATTCTATTCTATTCTATTCTATTCTATTCTATTCTATTCTATTCTATTCTCTATTCATTCCATATTCTATTCTATTCTATTCTACATTTTCTATTCTACTCTACTCTACTCTTCTCTACTTTATATTCTATTCTATTCCTACTCTACTCTGTATGGCTTCCCAACTCACACACAGGTGACTCCCGCTGGCTTAGAACATTAAAAATCCACAACTAACACTCAACACACAGACATCCTAATCACCTCTAACTTAACTCTTAGCATTTATTTAGCATTGAATGTTACAACCCATGGCAGTTTACTACAAAATAGGTGGCCGGCCAATCCAAAAACGAATACATTTTTAAAACAGTCAAGTTTAAGGGGGGAAGGGGAGGAAAACGCAGCAGAAAAGCCATCTTTATGTCATATCACATAAACCCTGGATCCTTACAATCCAAACCGACTCATTAATATTTTCTTTAATTTTAATTAAGGGAGAAAATGATAAAAGAGAGAGAGAGAGAGAGATGGAAAACAATAATTTAGCCTCTGAGCCAAGTTCTGTTCCGTCAAATGTAAGCCCAGAGCAAATTTTGACACCCATATAGCGGAAATCCCCAGGTAGCAGAGTCTGATAATTGAGATTCTGGCTGGAATAGAGATGTTCTAATTAAATTCTGTGTGGCGGTTGTAATTAACCCATTTATTCACTTATTGTCCTCTCTGCTGATAATCCAGGTGGCATTAATAGTGCCTTTCTATCACCGTTCTGCTTGGCATAGGTCATGCATTAAAAGTTAGTCGTTTGAACGTCTTGCAAAGGAAAAAAAAAGCTTTTAGCAC